CCCTTTGTCTGTAACACTCAAGATGGCATTTTACGCAATCTTCTCCGTGAAAACCAGAGTACATATCAAGATCCAAGTCATTTTAATGTATTCACTGGATTGGCGAGAGTGTCTTTAGTGATTTAAATATAGCCTCACTACTTTGTAAATAAAATTACGGACGTTCAAAATTGCAGTTTTGTGCGATTTTTTGTCAAATTTTCGTTCAATTTTTATCACATAATCGTCTATGAAATAACGAACAGCTGTTCGGATCAAGATTATCTTTCATACGCCTTGATTTTTTCTAGCTGTCAATGACATGTTTACAAATGTTGTTTACAAATACCGCAACTATTTCGAATCACGTTTTGAAAGCAAATCCCAACCAAGTGAGATTAAAAACGTTTTTCTTACATAACGGATTTAATTAATCGCAAGTGCAATAATATAGTCTAATAGTGTAACCGTAAATGAAGTTAAATAACTAGACATCGTCCAAATCGGAACCAGAAATTCTTTGAGTATAAAATGTTTCTTGAGTTTTGACAACCAGAAAGAAGAAGACCTTGAATCAGTGTTGTATAGGGCTGTGACACTGAAATGATCGTCGCCAATAGCTTACAAAAAAGGTTTCCACTCATTGACGGCGCTTCAATGGCGATTGTGTAAAGTGTAAAGTAAAAAATCACAACTGCAGTGGGTGATTGTAACAGAGGTTTAACAGAGGAAGTGCTAAACTCGCTTTTCCAATGTGTCACTTTCTGTTTCTACTCACCGTGTGATGCAATCGCTGGACCATACAGCCAATAGGCCCATAGCTCATATCTTGGGTACGTAAGCCTACATATTTATTCATAACAACCTTTTTGACGACGATCCTTGATACCGGTACTTTTCCATAGAATACATGGCCTACCTACTTAAAAAATAAAATTACAAATGACCAAACCCCCAACATTGTGTGATTTTCGTCACATTTCCTTCTAATGTTAATAGATATACTAATCATTGTTTAGAGAATGCGTAATCTAAATAACAAAAAGTTGTTTGGGTAAGGTTGCTTCTTTTTCAAACTGACACCGATAAGTTTACGCTATAACTTTTTACGAGAAAATCCAAAAGCAAGAGATCAATAACCTCGGGACTAGATATTAATGTATTTAATTGGTCCGATTTACTGTAATTCTTAGGTAGGTTCTTACGTAGGTACTGGTTCTTTTCCTTAGAACCGGTAGTTTACAAATTAGATATCGTTGGTGTTGCACCTTATTTATTAGAGCCGTCCGTATTCAATTTAAGTGATGTCTTAACTCTGTATAAGTTTTGCTTTTTCTGCCTGGATTCCAAATCTTAGCTTACCCGGTATGCTAAGAAAATGATAACCTATTTGAGTAAAACATTTGTTGGGCAAACCATCATGAATTGTTTACGCCTTTATATTGTTTATGTATCAATAGTTCGTGGCCTTTGTTGGATTGTTGTATTGTGTTGTTTTGTTGTATGTTGGTAACGCATTAATGTCCTTATTTCTCAGTGTTTCACGGAATGGACAAGAGCACCTTTGATACTGAAAATGTCAACCGGAATAAAGTGTTAAATGGTGAGGTTGAGGTAGTACTTTAAATACGTTTAAGTTAACCGATGTGGAAAGTAACTTTCAATTATAGGCCTACTTTAGGGCTACGCTTCATGGATCTATAAAACATTTTTAAGTTTAATCATTGGACATATGGACCAACACGATCCGGGTGACATTTAATTGCGAAGCATTTATTTTGGCTTGAACTGTCAGATACTGTATTTGCGAAGGTTTATATATAATAGTTTTGCCAGCATATCTGCAAATATGCAAACTAATTGCTGTTCTTAATCTTAATATAAGAAGGTTTCAACTGACTACTATAAGATCCCCGTGCGTAGAACGGGCACACAGCTAGTGTAGTAATACTTTACAAAGTATAACTAAAGTATTTTTTTTTTAATTCAATACCGGTAATGACAAACAAGACTCAATATTTAGGAATGTTTTACTTTTTACTGTATAAGCTTATGGGAGCGATAGCGAACGTCACGTTGCTGCCAGTGAGTGTCGGTAACAGGGCATGATGGAGGTTTGAGCAGAAGCAAAAGATACGCGGACGCGCGAATAACAACCCGGTTGCACTTGCGTGTGTGTGCGTCGGGAGCTCCGCAGGGCACTGCCTAGCATAGCGCAGTCAACTCACGAACCTCCTAGCTCCTCCCACCACTTCCCCTCCAACTGGGTTGCACCGACACGGCGCAGTCTGGCGGACACTTCGAACATCGTTCTGAGATTTCCGAGCTGAGGTAGAGCGCACTCTTAATGTAAGCAAAGAGGTAAATATTTCTAAGATAGAACTTTGTGATCAATTAGACAATATGGATAGCTTGTTAAAAGTAAATAAAGACCATAACACTGATACATGTCAATCAGAATTAGTACCATTGAACAGGAATTTTGGAGGGGGTGGCGTTAATATATTATAGAACAAACCGGTAGAGAGTAGAGACGATAATACAGATGCTTTAGTTAAGTTGATTACACAAATGTTTATAGACCTTAAGTCTGACAATCAAGCATTCAAAGATGAAATCAGATCTGAATTTTGTACACTTAGGGAAATGTTTGATTCACACAAGGCGGAAATGAGGGCAGTAGCAGATGGTTTGACTAATAAGGTTAAGTTAGTAGCTGAAGAAGTTAATCAAGTACAACAATCAGTTGTAGAAATAGATAAGAAATGTAAAAAAACTGCTATCGTCTGTGAGGTAAATAAAATTGAAATTATAAATGCGATGAGTAAATTGTCTACAGATGTGTCCAATAAATTTGAGTTAGTAAATGGTGTAACTGCTAGGCAAGGTGAATCACTCAATACACTAAAAGACAAATACGGTAAATTCACCTCGGATTATATTTTAAAATGGCAGGATAGTTAAATTGGTAAGGATGGTTGAATTTTAAAGTCAGTTAACTAAGGAAATCTTTCAATGTCAGGATAATTTTATTGTTAAAATATATGAGGCTAGAGAATAGTTAAATAAGGAAATACAGTTACTAAGAATCAATAATAAAGCTGAGGTACCTAAGGTAACTAGCACTAAGCCGGGAGCAATAGATATTCAACAACGGGAAAAAGCGACAATTAGTCAAACTGAGCTATGTCTGATTGAATTTCATGGTGAAAATGACAAATTAACACACCCAATTTATTTTTTTGAATTCTGCGAACAAATTCTGTGACCATGGGTTAGCGGATGGGAAATAAACATGCTTACGTTGTTGAAGTATCTGAAAAGCGAAGCCAATAATTGGTTTAGAGAAATTGTTGTGGATTACATTCGAGGAGTTTGAGAACGCGTTCAAAGCTAGGTACTGGTCAGAACACGTTCAATATAAGTTTGAAGACGAGTTGCATGGTTGATGTAATATTGTGTATGGTAAAACTGATTTGGTAACGTACGTAGGAAAATATTTGGATAAAAATCAGTAGGGATGGTCAAGTCTCGAAATTTCGGGAAATTTTACATCTTGTTACACGAGACGAGATTTCTTTTTGGCCGAGATTTTTATTGAGACGAGAATAAAAAAAAAAAAAAAAAATTAAAAACGCCTGCAGAAAGTCAATGCAATACCCGCAATACAGGAGCGTGTTGTAGTTAAGTTTCCTTTGCGAAGGCATTCTTATTTAATTAAATCTTTAAATGTAAATATTACTTTAATTATTTTAATGATATTACTTTAATAACATTTGAGAAGTTTTGTTAAGTGTAAGCAGTGTGAGGAATGTTTTATTACTATAAAAAGTCAAAACAAGTAACTATTTTATAAAAATAATATTGCTTTTATTTTATGATTTATTTTATTTTAGGATAAGTTGAACTCTATCCTAACTGATATCACTACGTTTCCTAATCGTAGGCATTTTTAATAAGTTAGGCAAGATTAATAAAAAAATGTTATGCTGATGTTTTTTAATAAAAGATTGTAAATATTCTAGCCTATTATCATTATTTTTGTATTTAAACAGTCATCTAACAATGTTACAAAATCAGGTAAAAATTTTGAACGTGCATTTCCCGTTGTGTATGAGAAGGGAAATCCCGTCTCGATCTCGTCTCAAAATTTTATGAGAAATAAAAAATCTCGTCTCGTCTCGTCTCGAACTAAAAATCCAATCTCGTCCATCCCTAAAAATCAGTAGAGTTATTTACAGTGTACATTCAATTTGCACAGGATTAATAAATAATACACATAGTACTTTTTATAGGTTTTTAATATTTTCTTACATTAATTGTATGGATTTGTTGACTAACATCAATTAAAAAAGACTGTCATAAAACATTTAAGTAATTTAATCCCTGATTCGTGACTAGTATTTTTGTAAGGTAGTTATATCCTTTAGGTGTCTGTTGTTGGGAATTAAAACGCAGATAGAGACACAACATGACATGCAACTTTGTATAACATCATCAATCATTCATTATGTGTTTGGGGGGGGGGGAGGGGCGCCTGACAACATCCCGCCCCGGGCGCCAATAAACCACACGACGGCCCTGACCGGCGGACAGTAACAGTAGGCGAAGAGAGGTAGGACCTACAGAAAGATATGGACCGAAATTCCAAGATCGGCACAAACAGTATAATAGATACTCTAATGATAATTCTAGGAGGCTAGGCCCCCAGAATAACCTATGAAAATTTAAGGCGAGCGCTTCGGATAACACGAGAAAAGTTAATACTGGTATGATCCTTAACGATTAGAGTAAATGTAAATAATTGGACTTTGCATTATGTGTTACCAAGACAAAAGTGATACAAATAAATAAAAATAAAAATAATAACACGTAATTAGCTGTAAAACAAGAGAAAGTTTATTACTTGTTGAATAACCCCACAAGATCTCATGCTCTACCAAGTGCACATTTCCCCTAACTACACCAATTAGTACAAACTGAATTAATGATAAATTTAAGATAAAAAATGTTAAACCAACCTTAAGAGGTTTTTTAAAGTCCCTTTCATTGTAGTTAGAAAGTTCTCTGATGGTATCTTGAACGATATTCTCTCTTGTCACATGAAGTTCCAGGAACTGGCTCATAGCAGCAGGGTCAGCCATGTTGAACATGAACATTTGAGTCAGCAGCCGTGTTGAGGCTTCGTTCATTGCTGAATGCATCTGCCAGCAAATAATACAACCATTTACTGTAGATATTGTGGTTGTTGAACATAAACATCAGTGTCATCAGCTGTGTTGAAGATTCGTTCATGGCTTAATGCATCAGCAAACATATATAATACTCGTACAAACAAAATGAAAATACAATAGTTGTGATGATGTAAACAGTCAAACAGTTTAGACGTTGAATCCAAAGTTTTTTATGAGAACTTAAATGTCTTTTAGTAAAGAAATGTTGTTAATAGTGTCCTGATTTGTCATCATGATCTTAAAGCAAATCTTACCTGAAGTGCTTGGTCTGTTTGGAGCAAAGATGTTTTTGCTGAAGGATCAAAAAGGAATGGGTAGTCACAGAAATACTTTCTTCCAGTACTCTGAAAGTAGTAAAAAACATATCATAACATGTAGGTAGTGGTTTACAAAAACTAACGATAGGTAAGAGTTTGCAGAGTAATGTTTGGAGGGATGTAAAAGGAGGTGGTTGGAGAGCTATGTACTTATCAAACTTGTGTAGAACTTGGGTAGAATTAAGCCCGTTTAGCATAAATAAAAATACATACATTTACATTAGAAAATAATTAATAGCGTAATACAGGGTGTCCCATGAGAGGTGTCTCAAATTGATTACGGAAAAACGGCTTAACCAACAAGGATGAAATAAAATTATTTCCCGCTATATCGACCCCCCAAGGAATAACGTAAAAATATTTTCACGTTACAGAATTTCTTTTTTCCGGTACAGAGTTTGCCAAAAACTGAGGGTCACCAGTTTGAATCTCTGAATTTTCAAATGTAAACATATGTTATGTTATACACCATTTTTAAGGTATTTAATAGAAAAACATTTTGCCAAAAACAGAAATTACTTATTTTTTTCCGTTTCAAAATTTCAAAAAATCTTTACTTGTAGCATATCAGAGTAAAGCTAATTTCATAACAAGTACCGGGGTAAGAAAATTAAACCGGAGAAGTGCTAAGTGCATTGGTATATGAAACACAGAGTATTAAAAACGTTTCAATTTTTCCCAAAAAAACTGCCACCATTTTGAAACAGAATAATATAATTAGTTTCTTCTGTTTTTGCCAAAATTTTTGTCTAATAAGTACCTTTAAAATGATGTATAACATGACATATGTTTACATTTGAAAATTCCGAGATTCGAACTAGTGATCCTCAGTTTTTGGCACACTCTGTATCGGAATAAAGTTGAAGATATTTTTACGTTATTCCTTGGGGTCGATTTAGCAGGAAATAATTTTTGTTGTCCTTGTAGTTCAAGCCGTTGTTCCGTAATTTATTTGAGACACCTCTCGTGGGACACCCTGCATACACTATATACACACAGTACTACGTACAGTTCATGACAACATATCTTCACGAGCATGGGCGCGTGACGGATACTTGTAGGGGTTTGCACTCGTCGCACTGTCTTTTTTTACTAACTTATTGCTAGGAAGGGTTGGTTTTGCAGAGTCTAGCTTCTGATGGGGAGGGGGACTTTCACTATTGCGGTGTTGCCAAATCTTTTGGATGTTTACACTGTTGTTGGTTGATGCTGTGTTTTCTATACCTATCGTAAATGGTTTTGAAAATGACCGAACTGTTGTAATACTCTTTTTTGTTTATTAAGTTGTCAGGCCATTGTTGTGGTGAAATATATTGGAGGAAATTCTAAAAAAAAACTGCAAGAACAAAGGCTATTAAACAGGTAACAAATAACTTTATTTTCTAGTTCCATCCTCTGGGAAAACAAATAAAATAACAAAATAATTAACTTTTTGTTTTGCATTGTACGTGTTATTAAATTAACAGGAAGTAAATAAAAATATGTCTAATAACACTTTAAATGGCGTCCCTAACTTATATTAGGGGTGGGCGAGTACTCGAATGTCGAGTAATTACTCGAGTAGTTGGCAATACTCGACAGTCGAGTCGAGTAGTTAAAGATACTCGTGACTCGAGTTGAGTAGTTGACGTTAAGCCGATTTCATTATTTTCATTGATATTTGACAAATACATAGTAAGAAAGGAAAATGTTTGAGTTTTATTTAATCCCTTAACCCCTTTAAATATTGACATACTAGGCCTACTAATAATCGGCAACCTAGACATCGCTTGCGTCATCCATTTCACTGACAGCGACAGCGCCGACAACTGAGCTGACACTGGGTGATAGGCAGTGGTGTAGGTGTGCGAGTGCGATGCATCGAATCCCAATTTGATCCAGCATGCATCAAAATCCCGATGCATCGATTACGTCACGATACAGCTCCACTAGTAAAAAGGGATGATTCGATTATCGTCATCAATACCACCGATACTTGGACATTGGTATCGGTACCAAGACTCGATTGTCAAAAGTCGATTCCGGTGATACCGACATCCGACAGGGATAAATATTTGATTTTAACATTTATTTACTGTATAGCTACAGTATTAGTTTTGTCATCACGGTTAACAATTTTCATAGCCAACTTAGAAACTATCTAGTTCAAAACAGCGAAGGTGCCGGTGACATTGTTTAGCTTCAGCATTGCACAACACAATCTACGAATCTACATTTCAAGATGTCAGACTCAACTCAAGAGACAACCAGCGCGCGAATGTCCTGCCAACAAGAAATTAATTATACTAAACAATGTCTGTATCAATAAGTCAGACATTTAGATGCATTATTTTTATTTTTAGTACAAAATAAATAACCTAAACACGTCGAAATTTTCAGTTTAATAATCCCTGCGCATCTATACGCATCATTAAAAATTATATTCAACCATTAAACTTTAACATCGTCGTATGGTTAGGCTTGCTTTATATTGCGCCAAAAAGTAGATCCATATTTTGATCTGTACTATCTACCTGATTAAAGAGTTTAGTGAAGTTTTAAGTGCTACAATAACATAATGTATTTATTGAAAAATATTATAAGCCTTAGTCCGTGTCGATTTTGTAATGTTAAAACGATTGGTGAATGTTGACAATAAAAGTATGTAACAACAGTTCTCATTGGTCAGGAGGCGTCAGTGCACTACCATGTCAGCCAATCGACTTTTGTGTTTCAATGGAGCAAATGACGATTGCTTTGACATCGTTTAATGTTTTATTGTGGGTGGAAAGGGTATCGATAAATATCGTGATTCGAGATCCGATATGTAGGACGTGTTTGTTTATAAATAATGAGTATTTAAGTATAAAAAACTAGGTTACAGACAGGTTCAAAACTTCGATTGTTCCGATCCATTGTTGACACCCGTACACGGAGGTTATAGTGACGTCGTGCATAAGGGCCAGGCAGGCCGGTTCACAGTGAATCCACTCTGCCGAACCTTGTTCTTGGTATAATCGGGAACATAGTCAAACACTTTTGTTACTAAATAAAACTATGAAATGTTTGTTAAAAGCACTCTTTTGGTCTTTTGGAGATTTTAGTCCCAAAACATAATCTTTATTGTAGGCTAAAAGTAAAACCTATCTATTGCCATACTTTTCTCCACAGACGTCGACATAGGCTATTATGCAATGTCTTTAAAAAATACCAGGGTTTCAGTCAAAATACTTTTGTAAACATTGACAATGTGATGTTTTAGCACAGTTCATTCCTTGACCACGATCGTTTTTACTCACTAGAGAAAAGACTCTCCTCACAAAATGTATTTGTAGGCCAAGATGTTTGTAATTTTTTTAATGTATAACTGCAATTGCTTTTAAAAAGAAATACAAAAACTGACAAATGACTTAGATTAATACTTAAAAAGTTAATAAATTAGAGGAAACTTTATTAGATCTCATCATAGTCAAATTCAAACATTTACAGTATTTCAAAATAATTAACACTCTTGTGTAATGGAAATCTGCAAGCGACTGAGGCCGAGGGTGAGGGAGGGCATGTGAACCAGGCTTTAGAAAAAGGGCAAATTCTGCTAAACTTTCTCTTTTCCTCCCCCATGTCCCGTTAGACGGTGGGTGGGGCTTTACACAATAAACAGTTCATTCATTCACAGTAGAGAAGAGTTTTTGTGGCAGTGACGTATGTCTCTTGTCTGCTCTTCAAGTTCACACATCTGGACTTCTTTAAAACAATTATAAGTGATAATCTTTATTAAAAATAAGTGAAAAACTGTTGACATTTTCAAGGGAAAAAAGTTGAGAAATAAAAGTGTTAAAAATTTTGTTTGATTAGTTATTCTGTATTTCAAAAATATCTTCATTTATGATTATGTTTTCAGCTAGACTTGGTGACTTTTTCATAGTTAAACAAATTTTGAAGATATATAATTAGTGAGAAAATGTCGTTATATAGGAAGTTAGTGTTTACTCACTTGGGCGAAAAAACTTACCTTACAAAGAGTATTTGTAGACCAAGATGTAGGCTAGGTACTTAATTAAAAAAATTATAAACTAATGAGTTAACTAAGACAATTTCATGGAATTTCAAATAAATAGAAAAACTGAGAAATGACTTAGATAAATACTAATAAGCCTATTTATAAATTAGAGGAAACTTTATTAGATCTCATGCTTTAGTCAGATTCAAACATTTACAGTAGGCCTATTTTAAAATAAACACTTAGTTCCATATTTTTGCAAAATTTTTTTGCAATTAATAATAAACCTTTAACACCAAAATATAAGTTTGATACATACACATTGTGTTTTTATATGGTATAAAAGTTTTTAACCAGGTCTATTTTGGTGAATTGAGAAATGCTTTGTTCGTAAAAATGAAGATGGAATATATGTAAAATAAAATTGTTGATTTTCTCGTGAACTACTCGACTCGACTCGACTCGATACTCGAGTATTAGGGCTAATTACTCGACTCGACTCGACTCAAAAAAACACTACTCGCCCATCCCTAACTTATATACTATTCGCTACCGGAACATCCGGCATGCCATGAGGTTTTTGTCATTAGTAATTATGTCTGATGATGATTGGAGTGTCGAATCAACTTTATCCCCATGTATTTACCATCTTGTAAGTGGACAGTGTAAGCATAAATATCACCTTACTTACCCTCTGTGAGTCGTCCACCACCCACTTAATGTAGTCCAGGGAGATATCTATATGATCTGTCAGCTCTGCCAAGTGGAAGGCATCATAAGGCACTTTGAGTCCACCAGCCTGGCCCAGGTCAGTCTGGTTTAGCTTGTTTAACTTTGCTAGAAGCTCCAAAGCTATCCGCATTCCCTCATACCAATATAAGTTCTGTAAATTCAACATACTGTTTGTTAGACATATACTAGCTCAAGTAAGGAAAATATAACAATATGTACTTTCACATTTACATTAGATTAAATGTTAGGATTTTAAATTAAATGAAGGTTAGAGAATTTTATTTGATCAAATACTATACTATATACTACTATATATATATAGTATATACTATACTATCAAAGGGTATTTCAATCTACAAACACTATTCCTAATACTAGGAGTGAACTTTAAAAACACTTACCGGGGTCTTAACATGGTTTTGGATAAATCTCAGGATTATACTTTTATACACAATGATAAGGCGTTCAAAATATTCTGAAGACATCATGACATACCACAGACCTGTAAAAGGAAGTCAAAAGTGATAGTTTGCACTGATTGTTTATTTTATAAAAATTTAATATCACAACGTGACTAATTCTTACTTCTATAATTCAAAATCTTCTTTAATTCAAACGAGGTGTTAGCCCGTCCTACGTACGGGAATTCAGTAGTCAGTTAAAACCATGTACAATTCAGATCAGCTAGTTTACACATATAGACAAAGTTTCTTGCAGTTTTAATGTGAAAAATCATCAAGTAAACAAATGTTGTGTGACCAAATATGTTTTTATTCCATCATAGGCCTATACGATATGCATTTTAAATCCGATAATTTTACAATAAAACAGCAATTCTGCAATTTTTACGATGTGAAAACGTTGAAGTGAGATTTGCAGCCGATTCGCACAGACGAACGCTGATTATAAGTAGCCTACAGTAGAGAGAGTAATAGTCAATTGAGAAGTGACTTAGTCACCGATACCACCTTCCATAGCATACCTGCCTCTTCCATAATTATTATCACCACAATACAACTACTATACACAATTTCCAGTAGGTCTAAATAGAAACGACCTAAAATAAAACGATAATATCCAATAAAATTCAAAGTACACATAAATCGTCACACTTATCCTTTATATCAATTTCACTGCATTAATTGCTAAATAAATAAGTGTAAACAAAGAAAAGTAAAAACAATAACAGTTTGTTTTGAAACAACTGTTTGGTCAAATAACATTCATTTGAAAAAAAAATAACTCAGGATTACTAAAAGAACTGGTCACATGTAGCAGGAATATAAAAAGTAAACACGCTAGTAAAGCTAATGACGTAATTGTCAATGTTTATTATCCATACCGTTATCAGTTCTATCCTTAATAATTACCCACTCTCATTGAATAAGTGTGCATCGTAATTTCCCATATTAGTTAATTTAAACTACAATATATTCATAGTTGAAATAAAAGTGATATTTTCACGTTTGGGGGCGCTGATAGGCACCCCCAAACGTTACCACACTGAACACGATTTCATAAAAGGATGGTTTGTCTAATTGCAGTATCCTAGGTCAATGTTGGCGTTGTGTTCAATCTTTGTATAAAACTCGGCTGAGGTTGTGGTGGTAATTGAAAATCGTGATTCCTGATTATTCTTGATCTTCTTTTTATGACATCAATATTTCCGGGCCTAATCCAAACAAAGTTAAAGCAGACAAACATTAATTGTAAACAAAAAGCTACCATGAAGAATTAAAGCATGTAAAAATTGTTATTTTTCTATTCTTTCCTCGAAAAGTGGAATAGTAAAATAATTTGCATTTATCCTTTTTTATTAAGACTCGTGTACAGAGCCTCGATTTGTACTGTGGTTTAATTAATTTTGGTTAAAACTGTGGTTTAAACTGTGGCCTAATTATCTCTACTAATCTTACTTATTTCCTATAATCAATGACAAAATAAGAGTAAATAAAATAACCTCATAGTTCCATAGTTTATATTTAACCAGCTGTTAGTTAAAACAAATTATATTGCTCTAAAACAAATCGAAGATTACAAAGATTGCTTTAAAAAAATAATTTGAACATCCTAGTATTTTACTATGAATAATTTAATTAATCTATCATCATCTTACAGAAGAATTGAACGTATCAATGATTTGCATTACACATAGTATAAATAAGTCAACCCTAAGTATGTCTTTACATTTTTATCCAAATGCTGAATTTGTGACACAAAAGCTGAATGTTTACAGCTGTTATGTTAAGGAAATTATTTTATGCCAAAAGCTAGTTTAGAATCTTAGCGTCGGCTGCTAGACTTTTTAAAAATTAAAACTCAATTTCTAAGAAACTGGGACCCTAAACTAAAATTATGGCTTCGACATTCCCTAGTTCTCAAAATTATCTTTCTTTCAACACAAAAATCATGAAAATCCGTCGAGTGGTTGATTCAGGATCGTGAAATAAAAAAACACTGTTTCGTTTTAATATTATAGATGTTTCTCCTGGTCCCTAGCATTTCATAATACAATCAATGCTAAATAATCTTGGTCGATTATGATTATATTTTGGATATTTCTAAGTTTCTATGGGAAAAAAGACAATCGCAGGCAAGAAATTCCCAAAAAACAACTTAGTATCATTGGCCTGCGGTTGAAATCCCCCTCGCCAGCCCTTTAGGGAAGTGGTGTGAGTCTAAATATAGCTTAAAGGTCACACCTACCCCTTCCCATCGCCCTACTCGAATGTTTGGACCTGACTCACCTGTGGCCCCGTGCTCTTTTCGAGGTCATTGACCATTGACCAACCCATCCCACCATTCTATTATTTTGACTCTTTTTTGTTTATATTCTGAATTTTTAAATCTATTGCTTGCGTAACAGTACAGTAGTATATTTTTCTAATGTAAAACAGTACAATCATTTACTGTAGGCTACTTTATTGAATGTACTGTTCTATAAAATGAAAATTAAAGTTATCTATATATATAAAATTCAATGTATGTTTGTTTGTACTTTATGGACTCTGAAACCGCTCTACAGATTGCAATGAAACTTTCAGGCATTATTAAGCATTTGAACCATGCCCTCGCGCCTGCACCCAGACTAACGAAAAGGAAGCGTGATCCATGCGCAGGCCCGAGGAGCGGCTCACAAAACTTTACTTAACAAAATGAGAACCATGGATCATGAGTCGTGACATTCGCCCGGTGGAAATAGTCACGGCTCAACCTCCCTCCCCAAAAGAGGACACTCCTCTCCAAAAGGGACAAACAAACAAGCCTCTCCCCCACTTCCTGAAAAGAGATTGACCTGAAAGACAACTCAAGTGTCTGTGGTGGGGAACGCCAAGGGACTTCCAAACTGAGGGGAAAACTCACCCCCAGGGTTTGCTCTGGCCAGAGCTGGAAAATTTTGTGAGGGAAATTCCTTCGCAGAACACAGGGGACAGGAGAAGTGATCAGGTTCTCTGGCCCAGTGCACTTCCCACCCAGACACAAGAGGAAAGAAAATTGCCTACGGAAGAGTTCCGCGGAAGGGCTTGAGATGAGAAATGTGCGCCCTCCGGAACACTTTTCCAGTCCGCGGATCTCCAAGCTCCGCCGTGACAGGCGTCAAAAACCTCAGGATGCGGTGGGGACCTGACCACCGATGACACAACTTTGCAGCTCTCTTGTCCACAGCCGAACTGGCTGGATGAGCTTTACAAAACACCAAATCCCCCACCTGGAAAGGGTTGTCTACTCTACCACGATTGTGCTTCCTCCGGACCAATTCCCTAGCTCTGATCAAGTTTCTCCTGGCAGCTTGCCAAGTTGCCTTGATATCAGCCGCACCAGGAGGTGGCAGAAGGTCGCCAATTCCCCACACATTCGCTAACGGGTTGTTAGGCGGATAGCCTAGAAACAGCTCGAAAGGGACCGCCTTGTGACTCTCATGGTGAGCAGTATTGAAAGCAAACTGAAGCCAAGGGAGTTCCTGATCCCAGGTGGTCTGCTTGTCAGCATGGAAAGCTATGAGAGCGGAACGAAGATTGCGATTGAACCTTTCAGCATGAGAAGGCTGTGGATAGTAAGGGGAAGTAGTCACATGGCGGATTCCGTGCCCAAAGCACATTCTTTTGAACAGATGGGAAACAAACTGTGTTCCGTTGTCGGAAACAATGGTGGCGGGTATTCCAAAATGTTGGAAGAGGTGTGTTCGAAGTACCTGCACGGTGAGCTGTGCAGTGGCATTCCTTAAGGGAAAAAGCCAACAAAACTTGGAGAAGGCATCCACACAAACAAGTAGGAACTTATTTCCTGACTTGCTACGCGGAAGAGGCCCTACATAGTCAATGAAAACCTTCTCCAAAGGTCTTTCCGCCACCTCAGATGACAACAAACCAAACTTAGAGTTTTGAGCGGGCTTGCTCAGTGAGCACGTTTGACAAGAACGCACCCTAGCAGCAAGATCCCGATCCATACCCTTCCAGATGAACATTTCCCTAACCTTCGCAATGGTCTTGTGGATACCTAGATGCCCACCCACAGGAGAAGAATGAAAATACTCAAAGACCATAGGGATTAGAAGACTAGGCAGCACAACTTTAGGTTTACCTCGCTGCCGAGCGCGACAGCAAAGGGCACCCTGGGACAGAAAATATGGGGGGTGGGCTCCCCCATTTTGAAGCTCACCAATGATCTTTGCCAGCTCAGGATCCTTCAGCTGATGGGGAATGAAATCAGAAAAGGCGAGTGGAAACTCCAAGAGCACGGCACAACCCGGTTGCTCTTGGTCAGAAGGAGGATCGTCGGGTGAATGGTACATCCTAGATAGTGTGTCCGCAATCACATTCTGAGTGCCTCGAACGTGTTGCACTTGGAACTTAAGGGACGATATTTGGACAACCCAACGACCAATTTTCCCAAGCTGGCGTGGATGTGCAAGAAGCCACGAGAGTGCCTGGTTGTCGGTTTCCAATAAAAACTCCTTGTGCTCCAAAAAGCGTCTGAATTTATTGACTCCAAACACGACAGCCAAACACTCGAGTTCATACACAGAAGAGCTTTTCTTTTCGCAGGGACTCAAAGTGCGTGAGGCGTACGCAATTGGCTGCCTAACACCATCCACCTCTTGTGACAACACAGCCGCAATTGCGACGGAGGAAGCATCTGTTTGCAAGACAAAGTTTTGATTGAAATCCGGCATCGCCAAAACAGGGGGCTGCATGATAGCCTCCTTGAGAAGGTCAAAAGACGTCTGCTGCGCTTCACCCCAGACAAACTTGGCGCCCTTCTTCCGAAGCTCATTGAGAGGAGCCGCCAATTCAGCAACATTGGGTATGAAGCGTCGGTAAAAACCTACCATGCCGATGAACCTAGCAATACCCTTGACATCTCTGGGAGGAGGAAACTCCCTGATAGCCTGGGTTCTAGCGGGGTCGATGCAGACGCCTCTATGAGAGATAAGATGACCAAGGAACGAAATTTCCGGCTTTGCAAAACTAACCTTGTCAGGATTCACGGTAAGGCCAGCCC